CAGCAGAAAGAAAGGTCTTGCATTCAAATTCATATTCCTTTCCTCTTTCCATAAAGGATTATTGATCTCAGACTTATTCAAGACTATTCCCTCCTGGACAAACTGCACATCTCTTCAGACTATATGTTGCCTCCTGGCCTTGACTCATCTATTAGTTTATGAAGGTATCTAATGCACTCTCTCACTTAGGGAGAGAAGATGCATTTGTATTGCCCAAAGGAAGAATTTTAAAAGGCTCTCCTCTGTGTCTAAGCAAATAAAAAGCATCTTATTTTTATCTCATGTTTGCCTGAATGAAGGATTTTTCAAGATAATTGTGTACAAGATAATCATGCTTCATTTCTACAAACAGGACACCTAAAATCAGGGTAGCAGTACCCTTTTCTGAGCACTCCTATCAACCTGTTCTGGAAGGATACGTGCAGGGAGCAGAACAAGCCTCTGCTGAGCTGCTTCTGGCAGTGCAGGAGCTGCTGACAGAAAGGTCCCCACAGAAGCAGCATCTCTGCAGAACAGTGTAGCCAGAAGAGGAAGATACAGAGTCCTTTCCAAGTCCTGACAGTGGCTCTGACCTTCTGGTCTCCAACAGTAACAAATATCTGAGAGCATAGAAGGCATTGGGTTTGTTTTCTGTAGGCAGAAGCCCATCTGGCTGACTGTGCACCCTCACCAGGGCACTCAGCTTTTATCACAACACACAGAGTCCTCTCTGCCAGCCCAGGGGCAGCCTAACTCATATCTCACAAAAGACTAAATCTTGAGATGCCTTTTTGTTTCTACAAACATTCACAACACCAGCAGACAAATCCAAGTGCTCCCCCAGTAGCATCATGAACTGCAGGGTGGTTTTTTTTTTTTTTTTACCTTATTGCAAAACTGATTTATAATTTTAGAGCTGTTGCTCTCCCAAGAGACCAGCATCAGCACCTCTCCTAAAGCCCCAGGGGAAAAGAAACCTACCCCACCAAAACTACCAACTGTGGCTGAGCACCTCTGTGCTGCTTCCTATTAAAGCCTCAGCACCCACCCTCCTAAATCTCAGGCTCCAAACTGACAAGAGACAGTTACCTGTTTTGAAAGCCTTGGCTCAATGCAAACACAAACAGCTACCTCCCCAGCCCAAAAATATGTGTTCCTAGATTAACCACAAATTCAGAGACAGCCAAGGAGATGGAAACAAAAAGGAGCAGAAGCCATAACAACTCTTCAGGGAAAGCTTAAAAACCACACAGAGCTCCAAGGAGCTGCTAACATACTTGCTCTCCATTTGATTGGTAGAAGTACTGACAGCATCTCTCAGGATACCGTTTTCCTGCTTCAGGTGGCTTATTTCTGCCTCCATCTGTTCACGAAGTTGCTGGAACTGATGGGGAAAGAAAGATCAATTCCAAAAAAATTGAAACTTGGGAGCAATAAAAAAACTCCAACAATTCGTAACAGGAGGTAAGGTATAACAATAAGTAAGTAAAGCTAAGTGGATTTTTTGGGAGAGGGGCAGCTTTACACCCTTCCTCACACACCCACTCAGGTTAAACTGTGCTCAAGTGAAATCACCGATTTCCTTTTATACAAACCTATTAACCTATTTATCAATGCAATCTTTTTTGTTTAAGACCACAAGTGTTTTTTAGGACACAATTGTTCAGCTGTATAGCTTTAGATGCTTCTCAATAGCTGGATATCAGCATATTAAAATAGATGTACTGTGAATTAACATTCCAAGTTAAGGATTCAAAGGAAAACAAAGGGACTCTGCATATGCAGATGACAGCATAGCTGGTCTTACAGCCCAACAGCCTGCTTGGAAGATCCTCAAGCACACAGAACTATACTAATGTCTTCCTCCACCAGTGCCAGTTCAAAAGTATGGCTGACACCATTTCCAAGACCCAGTTTCATCAACTGGCTGACTCACCAGTAAGGATTTTGTACATTAAAAAAAAAAAATCTAAACGTTTGTTAACAACCACAGCAGGAGAAAGCAGTCCCTTGTAGGGCAGCCACCTCCAGCTCAGCACCAACTTGTATGGAACAAGCTGGTCCTTGGATGTTTCTTGAGGAGTTGTGGGTTTGTTGTGGGGTTTTTTGTTTGTTTTTTAAATGCTAACAGATATGCAAGTTCTCAACAGAAGCAGAGGCACAAAAACCATCCCTGGAACCATTCCAGGTGAGGTTGGCCGGGGCTCTGAGCAACCTGCTCTATTTGGGTATGTCCCTGCTCCCTGCAGGGGGTTGGACTAGATGGGCTTTAAGAGGTCCCTCCCAACACAATAGGTGCTGTGATTCTGTGGTAATTGGAAGCTTTGCCAGTTAAGTTTCAGCTTCTTTGCAATGCTACAGAACATCAGCAGGGGGAGCAGAATCAGAGCACAGGCTCCTCTGCTCATCCTTTCTCCAGCTTTTCTTGCACCAGCAGCGTTTGCAAAAGCTCTCCAGTCATGCCCAGATCTCCTCTATCCTCCCCAGCCAGCAAAAGGATGCTGTCATCGTGCAGTTGTCTGTGCAAGTTCAAAGGAAGCTGTCTCTGCTCAAGAGAAGATAGTTCTGCTCCAGAATAGTAGCAGAGATGCTAATCTCCAGAGTGCCAAGACAGCAGATAGAGTATTAAAGCTATAAAATTCACATGCTGGGCTTGATGCTGTGACATGTATATAGGAAGAAAATATTGAAATGTGAAATTTAAGCACCAAAGTTGGTATGAGAGAGGCCATTTTTCTTAGAAAACTGTAACAAAGTTTTTAATTTGATCTTTAATCCTTCTGAGGTTGCTGCTTATAACACAACTTCAAGAGAGAGAGTAACAAAGGTCTTAAAAAAAAAAAGCAAAGCACGTGTCAACCCTTCAAATGTTTTCAGCAAAGCACTCCCCCAGGCAATGGTATTTCTTGTATATTATGTTATGTTGTCACTCTACTAGAATTTAAAAAATGAGATTTATCAGCTGGTAAATGATCATCAGCATTAGTGTCTCTCAAGTTGAGTATTTCAATTAGTTTTTACACTTGGCATTGAGTAACATTTCAGCAGAATACCATGGAGGAAAAGTAACTAGATCAGATGCAGGCAGTGTAGCTAGCACTGGTCTTTTACAGACTACTAAAGTCACCTATGAGAACATCTTGTCTTCCTTTTAAGTCAGAAAATGGCCCCAAAGGCTCCCACCCTCATGCAGACATGTTCTACCACCACACTGCATTCAGGGCTCAAGGTAATGAATGAAGCCAATTTCTCTGTTTCCAAACACCAAATGCTGCATCCTCGCTAAACCAATGACTTCTCAGCACTGACCTGCTCAGGGATGAACATCAACCTGAACAGTTCTGGCAGAGCACTCACCTTTATCTTCATCTGCTGAGATTCTTGGTAGCTAACATGTATTTTGCTCTGGAAGGTGCTGTGCTCCTTCTCCAGGGTGTTGATGCGCTCTCGCATTTTTGCTGTGAGCAAACCATTCACCTCCTTTTCTGCAACCAGCTCCTTCGGGGGAAATGAGAGGGAAAAGGGAAAAGGGAAAGAAGTCATCTACTGCTCCCTTCTAGGGTCTAATAGTCAGTGGTGTCAGATAAGTAAAAATCACAGGAAGTGTATCAAACCACAGCCAGCATCAATCTCCGCTCAGAGAAATTACAGAGTGAGACCTGACCTCACTTCCAGCACCTTTATGAAGATTTAGGGTCAGGAGAATTTCACATGTAGTAAAAGAACTTTGCCAATTTAAGCACTGATTGTTGTCTCAGAAGAGCTGCACTCTTATTTCTATCAAGCCTGGCCAAATGACAGAGAGTCCCAAGGTTATCAATCACAGGTATCACACAGGGCAGAGCTTAGATTTTCACCCCAAGTTTAGCAAAACCAAAGGATGCAGGTACAGAACTGTAGCAAAATAACAGCATTTCAGAGCAAATAATTGCTTTGTAGCAGGTTGCAGAGCCAACAGTTTTGCTGGAGGAAATGAGCTATTAGTACCCAGCACCAGCCAGAGAAGCCCTGAATCCCACCAGCATGATGCCATATTATAGCAACATGTATTTCCATTTGAAAGCTATTTAGATTAATCATTTATTAGCCAGTAATTCAACCCAGGCACCTGAGAAATCCATAATGCTGCTCTTCTGCAATAAAAATGCACTTGTTCTAGTATGCAAAAGCACCAAGTCCAGCTTTCAGCAAGCTCCCATCACAGGATGAGGTATTTGTACCATCTAAGCTTCAGGTGTCTCCAGCTACACAGCTCCTTACAGTGCCAAGGAGCCCTGACACATCATTTAAGTACACTAAATTATTAGCCTGAATGCCTTCCATCTCTTCAGAGTAATTAGAGCGTTTTTCCCCCCCACATTTTAATTTAAATAAAAGTTATTCTCTCTTTTAGAACCAACCTCCTAGCTTCAGTAGGCTCTTGCCCCAGAATGAAGTAAGTGACAGGAGTTCCCAAGCACATGTTTGTTCACAGAGGCATTTAGGAGCTTGTCACTTCAATAGTTTTAAGTCACTTATGCAAATATAGCATAAACAGCTTGACACAAAGTTTTCTCCACTGTATTTGCAGCTGCTAAGATGCAGCAGAAAGGGCACCAGCACACAGAGTAGCTTCCTTCTACCCCATCCATCTGCAGTCCTCACTAACCCAGCTACCCTGTCAAGGCAGTGCCAGAGGTCCTGGGAGGATTAACTTTCACCTAGCTTGTGTTTTGCCAAATACCTCCAGGGTCAGGCACCTCTTGCTCTCATTTATCCTCTCCAGTTATCATCTTTATCAACACCCCTGCAGGAACATCTCTGCACCTTAAAAGGCCCTGCATAGCTTTTGGCTGTGTTTTCAGAGAAACAGCTTAATCAGAAGGTGAGAGTCAAACTGCCCTTTTTCCCTGGTTTATCCCAACACTTCAGTGCTGCAGCAACTTTCTCCAAGCTTTCAGGAATGTCCATTTATTTCTCCTCCTCCCCTTCCTCCTCCAATCTTGATGGCAAACCCCCCTGATGACCTCTACTTCTCCACAGCTCCAGCCCTGCCTTCACAAGCACCACTTTGTAGATGTTTTTCCCAATCCCATCAGCTTCCCCCACACCCAGGCCCCTTCATTCACTCCCTCTGCTTCTTAGCAGCAGATACCTCCCCCTCCATCATCCTGCAGTCCTGGGCCAGAATTTGTGCCCCAAACACAGCACAAGTCTTTCTCCCTACATTAACTAATCCTAAAGGTCCAGATCCCACCCACAAACACCTGCCTGTGCCCTGCCAGGAGCTCACACAACACCCACTCTCTTCTTCCCTTCTCATCTGCCAAAGCTCCCAATTCCCACATCTGCTGGCCACTCTACTCCCATCCTTAGTCACCCAGCTTTCTGTGCCCAACTTTTGTCCCTCAATGTGACCTTCCCAAGCCTAACATCCTAATGTTCCTAAGAATCCTCCCCTGGAAGTCTGCTCCACATCTCCCTAATCACTTTTTCTACTGTTACTGCTTTCCTCTGAAACCTTTACTATAAAACCTTAACCAGTTCCATAAACTGGTTTTGACAGTGGTGCATCAGCATCCCTGTAAGTCTAAAGCAATCAGAGCTGCAACTCAAGGGGCTAAGCAGGCAGTCTACATTTTCTGTAGCTTCCTCCTTGAAGACTGGTGATTGTTGTGCCTAGAAGCATACAAGCATGTGAATTTCTAGAACATGTACCAAATTAAAACTGCCATGCAGAAAAGGCTTTAATATTTGCATCCACAAAACCATATTATGCTCACAAAGTGGTTTTGAAGTAGCCTTTTGAAAAGAAAACTAGTCTCAGCTTAAAAGTCACAGTAAATGAACTCTCCAGAAGAGCTACTGGAAAATAACTCTGCATAAATACATTAACAGCATTATAAAACCAAACATAGTGTCTCAGTAGGCTTTCCCAACATAAGAAGTTACACAACTCAATTTCTACTAAGCTTGGTAAACCAGCACTTGCTGGCTGCTAGTCCAACAAGCCCCTGCTCCTCTCCCACTGCTTTCTCTACACCTGAACCTCCCTATATTTACCTGGGTGAGCTGCTTGCACTGCTCCTTTGCAAGGGCTGCCTCCTCCTTCATGGCAGCGAGCATCTTCTCTTTGTCTTGTAGCTGATGTGCAGCTGCAGCCGACTCAGCCTTGCAGGCCTGCAGCAAAGGGACAGAAAAGTGACCACACATGACAGCTGTACTTCATAGCACACAGTGGAGCGAGCTTGAGAGAAAGAAACATTCCCTCCTGCCCCCAAATCATGGGCTACGTGGCACCACCAGTGCCCAATTCTGCTGCTAATGGGTCCTACACTGCCCATTTCATTAGACAGCTTCCAATGCAGGAAAAACAATTAAGATAAATAAATGGGCTCTTAAGGTGCTTCCATGGTGGAGAGAGCTGCTGTGGTGGCACTGGGGAAAACGAAGAACAGCCATTAAGGGAAATAAAGGAAGAAGATGCAGAGATGCTGAATCATTCAGTGATTGAGGTTGGAAGGGACTTCCAAGACTACCTGGTCCAAGCCACACTCAAAGCAGGTATAATCCAACCAGCTTAATCTCTTGAGATATCTCACTACAAAGGGAAGAAGGGAACACTGATCTGGTCTCTCCTTCCACTTCACAGGAGAGCCTCCAGTTGGTATAATTATGTTTCTGCTGACACACAAAGTTTCAGAGACAATACAGCAAGCCAAAACTACAGGAGCAATCTCCATGGTCCTGCCACTTGCATACTTGTCCTAAAAATAACTTCAGTGACAGGCAAGTTTTCTAAAGGGTTATTCTCAGCCTTCACTCAATGAAGTCTGGTAACTGAAGAAGTAAACAACTCTTAGTCCCATAAATGCACTCTGAACTTGTTTGGAAGTTCTCCTTTGGTGGTGTTGTCTAGGTATGCAGTACAAACCACAGTGAGAGCGTCTCACATGAGCTACACAGAGGAAAATATTCACATTTCCACTTACAGAAATCTACATTTTTTTGGTTGTATACAAACCCATGAACCCATTTTGATCCTACAGGTTCAGCTTTACCATAAAACCTTCCTTTTAAAGGAAAAAATACATCAAGGAATCTGGCTGCTCTTCCAAATAAAACAGGCAAGACCATTGCAAGTGCAGCACTACTGGGTTTTCCGTCGAGCACTGAAACAAGGGCCCAGAAAGAAAATGAAGTTTCTGCCCTTAGGTTTTCAAGACCCAGTGAGACAAATCCCCGAGCAGTTTGCTCCAAATTCAACGTTGAGTCTGCTTTAAGCAGGTGGTTGGACTGCATGGACTCCTGAAGTCCATTCCAACTCCAACTGGGTGATGTGCTACTGGGTTGCATTCACTGAACTGGCACATACCCAGTTCTGCATTCCTGTTCTGGTACCCCATCTGCAGAAGAATACAGAATTGCAAGACTTCCAGTGTGACAAACAGGATGTTGCAAGCACAGTGTCAATCATAATGAGTCATTACGAGGAGCAGACATTTTTAAGATACTGGTGGTCACCATTTTCCCCTGTCTTAACAGGAAAAATTAAAAGAGAACTTCTGAGCACTGGCAGAAGTTGCCCAGGGGGGTTGTGCAGTCTCAGTTCCTGAAGGTTTTAAGCCAGACTGGCCAAATCCCTGAGCAGTCTGCTCAGGTTTAGATCCCTCAGAGTTGAACCTGCTTCAAGGAAGAGGCTGGACTACAAACTCCAAGAGGTCTCTTCCAAACCTGAATCACCCCTGTGAAAAATATCCCAAAAAGTCAACAGACTACAAGTTACAGATTCATAAGATGGAGACACTTGCAAAAAAAAACAAAAAAAAGAATTTAGCTGATCAAACACAGAGCCACAGCAGCTTTCTGTTAATTTCTACTCTAGTTCATCCTGTTTATATTTGTGAAAGATCACTCCTGAAATGTCACCAGACAGCCTTCCCCCCTGCCAGCACCTGTGAGCACACACACACACACACACACACACACACACACATCAGCTGCAGCAGCCACCCCACCTTGTGTACCTTCATTCTCCACGGTCCTGTCTGCTCTTTACGAGAGATCAAAAGCCACCAGCCAGCTCAGGCAGCCCATGGGAGAGCAGATGGCAGCACACAGACATCTGACAACTGCTTTCTGCATGCCAAGCAAGCACATACCAGCTGAAAAAAGTCTTCCAAAGACAGAATGCACAAGTCCTAACAGAACGTTGATACAGCTAATTTGGCAGCAGCTCTTCCAATTTGGGCTTATTTAATAGTCTTCCTTCCCCCCACCCTCCACTGTCACTCACCTTTTGCAAGACATCATGAACTGCACTGGATTTCTCCTTCAACACCTCCACTACACAACGGGCCTCATCTTCAGTGAAGATCATGTTCTTCAGGCCCATGACAAAGTCTTTAAATTTTACTTCAGCATTCTCTGCAACACAGATGGGAGGATGTATTTACTTTGGACCCCATACAGAATTATTTATTTTGCCTCAAAACAGCATGTGATGGGCTATCATTATGCTTTATATTTAATTTCAGTCTGAAATGCCAAGAAGCAAGAGGTCACAAACGTTCAGTAAAAACATCTCCTCTCCAGTTTAAACCTGATAACAATCTGCCAGTTGATAGTTTTGGGAAAAAAATCCCACCACTTTGTTTGTACAGTTGGTAACATTTATAGCATTGCTAACAAGAAGACAAAGCATAACACAGACTTTGGGGGAAAAAAATAGCATAAATGTGAAAACTTGAGTCCTTTCTAGTGTATTATGACAGTAATTCAAACTGAATTCTCAATTTAAAGGACAGCCTGGCTCCACAAGCAATATGCAAATGACAAGGTGATGAATTTAAGAACTGGCACATTTTTGACTACAATATATGAAAAACAGAAAAATATTTCCTCAGTCTAAGTTTGGAAATGAACTGCTGCAGGAGGAGTTCAGCAGTAGGAAGATCAACCAGTAAGATCTCTCTTAAAGGCTAAGTGTTTAAAAAAGACACAAACAAGGAAAAAGTTTAACTGAACTACACTCCAACAGGAACAAAAAACATAATTCATATAAAAACCCAGGTACACAGGTCATGAGGTGGCCCTCTAACTTCAGCAGATGGAAGCACAAGACCAAGGCATCCAGCATCTCTGTCAAATATTCTACAGTGCACAAAAGCATGTGAAGGGATTGAAGCAAATAATAATAATTAAAAAAAGCTTAAAAGTGATGCTTGATTCAGAAAGTATTCCAAAATTCGTGGAGAAGGATTCAGGTTTCTCCCCACAGGTGCTAAACGTGCCATTGAAACCAAGCCACACAAAGCCAGACACTTCTAGAGCTTAAAAAATAAATGAAGACTGAGGAGGTGGTAGTGACACTAAGCCCCCAACAGAAATTATTGAGCATAAAAAGAAATCACTGAATAGCAGAGCACAGAGAGGTGGGGGAAGTGCTGAGAAATTCCAGCACACTCTCTGCTGCTCCTAAATCCAACTTAGTCTTGGCCACGGACTTCACATCAGTGCTGCACTGACATCACCAGTGATGCTGTTACCAGGAATATGCCAAAATCCTGAGACCACAGTCTGGTTAGCTGGGAATCTACAGCAGCTTGGCCTGGACCAGCCTGAGCCCTGTGCTTCCTGAAGATGGGAAGACCTTGCCCTTGCATCCAAGAAGCTTACAGTTAGAATAGGGGAAGATTTCATCTTGGGAGGGCAAATCCCAGCTGACAGAGGAGAATTAGGAGCTCACATAGAAGGTTACAGCTTGCAGAGGAAATGAGAGGGGACGGGTGCAGGTGAGAGGCTTTGATGCTGCAGGGCAGTAGAACACATCCACTGAGCTAGAAGCACTCAAGGAGCCTCAGGCAAGTGGGAATCCAATCCAGACACCAAAAAGAGTTGCCAGGAAGCTTTTGAGTGAGCATTTTAGAAGTCTAAAAAGAAGGGTCACAAGGAGTGCAGTGAGTAACCACTCAGTGTTGGAGAGCCAGCCTTCTGCATGAGCCTGAGCTGAGAACCACTGCTCCCTCACCTGGCTTCTCCTTGCTGGCTGCCCCCAAACTTGAGGGTCTCACCTCATGGCTTAGTAAGTCTAGCACGTTTTGAGCAGGCCTATTTAAAGTTTCAGGGTGAGACAAGGCTGATAAATGACTCCAGGGATCTGCGGGAGAGTCTGAAGGAAGCTCCCCTGTCCCAGCTGCATTAAAAGGAAAATTCAAAGTCTTGCTGGAAACAGCCAGACAATCTCCACCAGCAATTTGCTTCAGGTAACTCTGTGCTGCACTCAGAGGTACACACTGGCCAGTCAGCCCCAGCTAGCTCCATGAAGAGCCTTAGAGCTGCACTTGCAGTCTCAAGCAGACTCCAGCAGCCTGTACTGAAAGCTCCAGAGCCCATCACTGTCAGGGATGCCTGAACTATCTACTGTAAAACTCACATGCATCTGTGTGGTCTGTGATCACCCGTTTGCTCACTGAGAGGACAAAAGCCTACAGTCAGCATTAAAAGGAAAAGCCCAAAAGCTCTTTCAACAGTGCCAACAACAGGGGAGAAACAAACACAGACAAGAACAAACAGCGTCCTGCAGCCACAAATGTCTGCCTCCAATCACTTCTTCCTCTTCAATAAGGGAGGACTGCCCTCCTCACACACAGAGCATGTTTCCCCTGTTGAGGTGTGCAAGCAGGCTATCCCAGAGACAGGCTGCACAATCAGTTTCTTACCTTTATCTGTTTCATTCTTCAGTTTCTTGCCACTGCTCTTCTGGATCCCCTCATTCACATTTTGTTTTGTAACTTCGACTGCTTCTCGCTTTCCCAAAGTGCCAACATCAGAATTATCCATCAAAGGAATATAAGTAGTTGGTTGAATAAGAGGTTCATCCACCAAAACTGTAATCAGAAGTCCACAGGATGGGTTAAAGCTTTCTAATAATTAATGTCAGCATTTTTAGAAAAGGTGCATAACATACAGGAGAGTTGGATTAAAGCACCTCCAACCTCAACAGTTAGTGATACTCTATTTCTGTTATCCTTCCCAGCTTAACTCATTAAACCTCTTCAAGTTAGTTCATTAAATAAAGGTCTCCAATGCATAGTAATTTAATAGCTTCAATTAAATTTCTATTTCCAAAGCTGCCTTTTAGCATTTTAACAAGTAGCAGAGAACCACCTTTACATTTTGACTTTCATTTCACTTTAATGAGAAAGTTCCACATAGCATCAATGAGACTGGTTTACTTGTGGCTTTGGATGAAATCATTCAGCATCCCTCAAGTATGAGGGAAGTCCTTTGTCTCTACTCTGCTCAAAGCTAGTGCCTTGCTGCCAGCATTTGCACCCAGGTTACATCACTTGTGAACAGAACATGTGGTAGGGACAGCAAACAAGCTTATTTCACATGCAGACTCAACTGCCCTTAATGAAGACCTCTCATCTGTCAGAGCAGGCTTTAGGCATCGTTAATATTCAGAGAGGTACCCAGAGGTACTGACTGACCTCAGGTCTCCATTCACACAGCACCACAAACGTGGGGAGGATCAGCCTCTCTCCAAAGAGCCTTTCAGCCCATGCTGCTGAGACAAAAGCAGGGATGGGGCGAGGAAGAGTGACAGACCAGGGCCAACGGATAAGGCCAGAAACAAAGCTGGATTTGCTGTTTGCCCAGCTCCTCAGATCCTGGTCCATGCTGCCTGAGGTATGCAAGAGATGCACAGAGCCACATCACAGGAGGAAAGCTCACTGACCCAGCCAGCCCAGCCTGAAGGGCTGGTGGGCAACAGATGCCACACGGCAGAGCAGAGAGAGGAGGAACTGGGTGGGACACAAAGCTTTGGGCATCAGCACAGGATGAATAAGCACTCCTGGCTGCCAGAGAGCCAGTTATAAAACACTTCTGTATTCTGGCTGCTGTTAAGGAGCAGAAGAGGCCAGATGGACCTTTTATGTCACCTGCTAGAGTCCTTCCACTTCAGCAGCCAGCAAACACCTGCAGGTGCACTGCAAGCTCAGGAGAGCTCTCCTCAAGCAGAAATACCCACCACTGAATATAGTTACCACCCTCACCTTTTCCCTTCTCCTTATTAACATCCCCTTTTCATTTTATTCCTCTCCTTTCAAAGTCTATTTGATATCAATGAGGCATTTCACAGAGTAAGTAACATCTGAAACCCCCAGACTATTGTTTTGGCCCATTTGGACACCCACTGAAGCTAATTTTTGCTCAGTTGTTTTGGAGAGGTGGCTTTAAAAGCAAACAGCTTGCATTCAAATAATGCATGAGCTGTTCCCATGTAGCACCAACAGCTTTGCTTTAATGCTGGCTGAGCTGGTACTGACACAGATGAGTCTGTGGTCCATAAAATTGCCCCTCAATAAAGGGCAATGAAAAGCAGAGGAACATCCACAAAAGGCAATCACATCCCAGGTTTCTCAGCAGTTTTTTTTCCAGGAATAGTGTGAAGGTTTTTCCACTGTTAGAACATACAGGAATCTCACACAACTTGGAATCCCACCCTGGTCTGACTGATTTGGACCCTGATGACCTGACCAAAATATAAAAGAAAAGGTGACCAATGTTGTCTGCTCCAGGAGCAGTCCACGGGCCACCAACCTCTTCGTAGCTGTCCCAGTAAAGATGAGTTTTGAGAAGCTAACAAGGTGGCCTCACAGAACTTCATGGTCACACTCTTCCCAAGAACCACAGGCACAAGGGCACTCATTGTAAAAAAAACAAACACAGAGGCACACTGAGCCAAGAGGAGACAAGAAACAGCATCTTGGCAGAGAACGAGGGGTGACGAACAGTAAGGGCCTTGACAGCAAAGATGAGCAGTTTATGTTGGACCCACAGCTAGCTAACAAAAGGACAATAAGAGAGGAACGTGGTCAAAGCAACCAGCTAAAAAAAAAAAAAAAATGTAGTCTTGTTTGCAGCAGCTCCAGACATGTCTTGCTCACAGCAACTTACAGCCTGCTCAGCTTATACTCTCAGTCAGCCTATTACTCCTCAATCAAAGCGTGGATGTTTGGATTCAGAGGAGCTCAGCAAGGTTCACAGCATCATCCTACATTCAGTGGTACCAGATGTTCATAAAATAAAACAGTATTTCAGGGTGAACAATCTTTCCTACCTGGAATTCCTGCTTTTTCAAATTAAAAGTTATCCTTCTATGAGTTTCTTTTCCAAAGGAGGAGAAACTAAAGTATGGATAGCAAAAAGTCAAGTTTATCTCAACTAAGTCACAGTCTGTATTCTCACCATTATCAACTTTCTGCTTCTTTGCAGAGAGTTTCTTCTTTCCTGACACATTTTCTTGCTTTATCTCTTGGTGGAGCAGCACTGGGTCTTGCTTTTTGGCAGGAGGTACAACAGAATCAGTCTTAGTATCTTGATCATCTGTAATAGACAATTAAGACAACCTGCTCTTCTGTATATTCTCATCATCACTTTGGTTATTACACTTTTAAATCAGTAAAAGTCCACTCCCAGAAAAGAGAAACCCACATATATTAAATCAGAACAGAGTTATCCACACATCTGTGTACACAAACACACCTCCCGTGGCAGATGAGACCCCCAAAGCAACAGGAAGGTTTAGCAGAATCAAGAGCCACAGGACCTGGAGTTTTGACAGACAGGCATCTTAACAGGACACAGAACATGTGGCAATGCAAGGAACAGCTTCAGAAACCCAGCCTGGGTTTTACCACGGCAGAGCAGGCAGCACATGCTGCCCATATCAGTTTCTCATTTGCAGGAAGTATTTTATTCCCCCACCACGAACCCACTTGGATATTTTTACAGACACACACCCCCAATAGCTACTGGGACTGTGAGAAGCAGAAAATAAGTTAAGTGTTTCAAATTAGGGAACTGTTTTTTGTAAAAGTTGCTTCTAGGGAGAAATTTGTTATCTTTTTTGGACAGCCTGTGCTAGACAAGGTTCTGGTCAGGGCTGACACACCATGCAGGGTTATGGTGTTAGCTCCTGTAATCAAGGATAAGAGTTAATTGTGGCTGCCCTCAGAACAGCGATTGCAGACCACGTTTTAACCATGCCACAGAGATTTTTCAGAGCACACCCACAAACAAGATTTGATACTGGTTTTTTTGTTGGTGTGGGTGGGCCTTTTTTCTCCCTTTTTTCAGAAAAAGAAGAAAAATCCACATCAGGCAGCAATGTTGTTCTTTTTCCTCTCTCCCTGCAGCAAACCTGTTATGCTGCATCTCAAAAGGGTGATCCACAAACACCTCACTTTTCATTTATTTCTGAAACTGGGTATTTTTATTCTTTAACTTCAGTTCATAGTCAAAGAATCACACTGAGACAGGTCAACTTCTGCTGAGGATACAATCAGGACAGGCTCAGGTGATTGTGACTATGGTTTTTGGTCTGTTCTAGGTTGGATGTTTCAGTTACAACACCTGAACCAGTTTCATTCATTACAGAGGAGTGGCAGGAGGGAAGCAGCTCTAAGGGCTTCTTTCTACAAATCAGCCACCAAACACCTCTTTGTATATTAAGCTTGCACTTAGTGATTTATTTTGCAGTCTGCTGTGAGGTTTCTCTAGATGCCCTTCCTTATCAGGGCAACCACTCTTGGGCCTCCACTGTTTTCTAGCTTGACATCAGAACGTACACAGCAAACATCTAATGGCTTCTTTCAGGTAATCAAAATTTTGACAGCTTGAGAGCAAAGTAGCCAAACCATAGACCAAAGGAGAGAGACAAGCTACTCCATTTCACTCTGCAATCTTTAGCTGAAGAAAGCAAGGACAGGAGGAGGAAAACCAGAGCATTGCTGCCAGATGAAAAATGGGACAAAAAAAAGCAAGAGCTCATGAAAAGGAAGAGGTTAGAAGTGAGCTTTGCCCCGTAGAGATCAGGCAGAAGAGCTGTGAGAGAGACACTCTGTGGCCTTGCAAAGAGCAGAACACAGTCTTGGCGTTCTGTGCAAGAAGCATATGCAACATCAGATACCCATTCCATTTTTCTGCTTCTTCTGCCCAGGCTTCTTCTTAGCTGCTGCCGATTCAGCTGGTGGAGTGGGCTGTTTTGTAACAGGGACTGGTTCTACTTTCTTGCCTGAAGACTTGGATCCTTCCGACTCCTTAGTTACGTGATCATCTTGAACGGCCTTGTGCTTCTTCTCCTTCTTCTTCCTTTCTCTCACCCCAGAGGATGCTTCGGTCACGCTCGCGGGAACGGGAGCGACGTGCTCTTCATCTGTGCTCAGGGCATCAGCCAGCTTGAAGTCCCGAGGTGCACTTTCAGAGTCAGACTCGTGGATGTTCCCATTCTGAGCTTCTTTCTTCTTGTTCTTCTTCTTCTCCATTTTCTTTTTATCAGCCTTGGTAGGTGGAAACTTTAGGTCCCTTTTCTGTTTTGCGAGGACTTCATCGTATAAAGTTTCTTTCATGAAAAGCCAGAAGAAGAGGAAGATGACGGTGATAACCACAGAAGGAATGAGGATGATGAAGTAGGTAGACTCATAAAACTCCATTGTGCTTTTTCTTAGCGATGTCTTTTAAAAAATCTACAGGGGGAGGAAAAATAAAAGTAAAAATTAGGTTTTGAATAAGTTTTCCTTGATATTATTTCCCCCACCAATTTTAACAATAAAGTTAAAGAATCTGTGCCATTGTTTTAGAGAAGCCTTAGAACAGCTTTTAATAAAATTACCAAACTCTATCAATCATGGAACAATTTCTGGGATCATTTGCCATTTGTTTCAAAGCTCTTAGCCTGGATAGGAAGGACTGCAGTTTGCAGGACTGCTGATTTTGGAAGAGAGCAGTTCTCCTCTGTCCTTACTTTTGCCTTCCCCATTCTCCATTCCCAAGAGAATGTCATAAAATTAAAGCTTTTGATTTCAAAAATACATGAGACAGCACTTTCAGAGCCTGTGAATTAAGAACCAATACATGCAGAGCAACACTTTTTTTGTTTTTTCCCCCATAAATCAAACATAATGAATTAAGATTTTTATCTTGGCAAGTGGGAGTTAAATTTCAACTTCCTTTTGTTCCCAGATTTATGATAACTTCAGAAGTGGAACGAGGGGAAGAAGGGAGAGAGCCCTAAATTTTAGTCAGCCATAAAGAATCAGGTATTTTCCAAACTGCTGTTTGAAGTCTAAAACACAGCTTTAAACTCATGAAAATTCCACACATTTATAGGAAAACAGGAAGATCTGTTACTTATTTTGCACATGTAACAGTACAACTCTCAAGGGCACTAACAGACCAGATGACTCCAGGATAATTTGCTGAAAACACTACTTACGTCCCAAGCACTTAATTATTTTATTTTACAAAAAGCAGGAACCACAAAGTTCAAAAAAGTCATAAGGAAGCTAAAAAACCTAACTTTGGGGTCAAGACAAGCCAGATTTCCCCATTTCACAACTGATCATTATGAATAAATGTAGATTTTTGCAGGAAGAATCCAATTCCTCTCCAGACCGCTTATTCCAAGGAAAATTTAAAAAAAAAAAAAAAAAAAGCACCAACTACTGAAAAACACACAATCAAAACTTTAATTAAACAAGTATAATTCCCAATTCACCAACCCAGTTTAAAAGCCACCATGGAAAGCATGTGCGTCAACTATGCTTTCCTCTACACAAGAAAAGATGACTCCTCAACTCACCTGTCCCTTGGAAGACCCATTCTCTTGGGAAGAAAGGCAAAGCATCTAACCCAAGTTGTGTCTCCCATGAACTTTGCCACCTTCTCTGCAGCTACTGCCCAACTGCAGCATCCCTCAACACGGTCAACATGTGCCAAGGTCTCCAAAAACACTTGGGGAAGCTTGTACCATTAGTGACTCTGGGCACAGTCATTCATCAGTCTGCCCTTCCACTTCTTCTCAACCAGTGTGAGGATGAGAGCTTCACACAGGCTGAGATATAATAATAAAATCACAGAAAAACAGGTTGGAAGGGACCTCAAGGATCATCTGGTTCAACCTTTCCAGGGAAAAACACAGCCTAGGTGAGGTGGCCCAGAACTCTGTCTAGCCAAATCTTAACAGTGTTCAATGCTGGGAACTCCACCATCCCTGGTGATATTGTTCCAACAGCTGATTGTCCTTGTTGTGAAAAATTTTCCTCTCCTATCTAATTGGAATCTACCCAGGAGTAATTTGTACCCATTACTTCTCTTCTTTTCCACCTGATTCCTTGTAAAAATAGTCTCCACCTTCTTTGTAGCCACCTTTTAAATGCCAGAACATGGTGACAAGGTCATCCATAAGCCTTCTCTTCTCAAGTCTGAGTTGGGAGATGACCCCAAAAACGGTAGGGAGAACTGCCTCCACCTTAAAGAATATTGCTTGGAGTATTTCTACTGCCAGTTAGGAAAAGAAAATAGATGTGCCTACTGAGAGCATGGGGAACAAATTCCACATAGAAGTTGCATGGCACAAGGAGAGGACAGGCTCTTCTTGCTTCTGGGCAGACAGAGGATTTCTTTTTATCTGCCTGATAGTACTACATTTAAACTTGTTTTACCTCAACTCCTGGCTGTGCTGGAAGCTTCTATCATAAACTGTCTTGCCAACCTGCCATATAGGTAAGAGCTTGGTTTGGAGCCTGGATCTAGCTCCAGAGTTGTTGTATCTAAAAGCTTCTGGACAGAGAGGAGTTATGGGACAACATATTTGTACAATGCATTGAGCAGGACAGAAAGCAAGGAGTGGGAACTCTTAGTTTAGTTACTAAGTTATCCAAATAAAAAATTAACATTTCAATACACTAATTATTCATCAGTTGCCTCAACATTCAGCCTCCTCCCAGTCTGTATTTAGTTCCTGCGTGTGCAGAGCTCACCAAAAAGGGCTGGGCCTAGAATTACATCCAGCACAGAAAGTTTCAGGAGGGTTGGGAGCGACAGGAGGAAGAGCCTGTCTGCTGGGGAGAAAAACCACAGATGCTCGAAACTAAGCTGGAACTTTCAAAATGATTAGTTGCAGCTATTTGATAAAACCAGCTTCCTGTGCTAAGTGATCTAATATTAGTCATCTCTTGAAGGAAGCAGATCTTGAAAATCTGTCTCAGCCAAAGTCAATATTGAATGCTTACGGGAAAAGCTAATCCCCAAAGTAAATATGTAATTGAGCAGATTTTTCACAAGCGTAATTAAGTTGATCATTACAATACATGACTACAACAATTACAATACCTAAAACCACTAAGAGGTTTTAGCCCAGCCCACCACTGATACACAAACACGCAGCTGACCACAAGTCCACCCAACTGCTTTGGCCAAGCTGGGACAATCACCCCCTGCAGCTATCCCCACACATCTCCCGACACCAGATGCTCAGGTCAAATCACACGCTCAGCAAAACACATCTTACAAAGGCTCCAGGCATCAAGTGTCAGGGGCATGATGATCAAGGCAGGATGAAGTATTTGGAGAAAATAATTGTTGCTTTGAGACCAGAGAGGTTGGACACGTTTAAAAGCTTCAGCTGCTTCAAGAGAAGCCATAAATACGTAATTGTAACAGTTAGTCTGAGTGGCAAACACAGAATCATAGGATCATTCTGGTTGGAAGAGACCTGCAAAATCAAGTCCAACCGTTAACTCAGCACAGCCAGGTCACCACTAAACCACACCCCTCAGCAAAACTGGGCTAGAGTAGACAAGGTCTGATCTCAGGGCTGGCCAAGCAAGGCGAGCTCTGCTGAGCCTCCATCCACCACCCTTCTTGCCCCTCCCAGCACTTCCCTGTGCTTCTGCACAAGGATCATTTCCACCCTACACTGAATCCAGAGCCTCAGTGGACTGGATTACTCCTTCCACTCATCAGGGCAAAGTGGAGTGAGGGATGAAGCCAAACAAACACGTCCACCCCAGACACAGATCAGAGGCACACAGATTTATCTCAAAGTTCACATACACAAATCCAGCCGTTCACGTGGGAGCAAGGTTCAAACAAAACCAAACTAGAAGTCTCAGGATGTAACCCGAACTGATGAAGCACCCCCAGGAACAGGTAACGAGCTCTGCTCTGACAGCAGCACACTCATTGCCCAGCCCAGCCCAGCCCATGCAAGGGCATTTAAAAATCCCTTCTAGAAGAAGGCCATTGCTGCTGGCTTGTGTGCAGAATGACAAGATGACATCCTTCACCATCTGCCCCCTGCCAGGAGGTCTTCATAAAGTGGCGTCCCTGCCATGGGACACGCAGGCAGTGTTTTGGCTCATGCAGATTTTCCAGTGGTTCTCCAACAATCTACTATCACTACAAAAGTTACTCTGTTCCCATTTATACTCCCACATTACATGGACAAGCTGTCTGAGAAAAATAACAGAAGCAAACCCAGCATGGTGGGGTTGGAAGGGACCTCTGGAGATCAACTCGTGCAACCCCCCTGCTCCAGCAGCTCACCCACAGCAGGGTGCCCAGGATGGTGTCCAGGTGGGTTTGGGATCTCTCCAGAGCAGGAGACTCCACAGCCTCTCTGGGCAGCCTGCTCCAAGCTCAGACACCCTCACACCAAAGAAGATTCTTCTATTCAGGTGGAACCTCCTGGGTTCTAGTTTGTGCCCACTGCCCCTTGTCCTGTTGCTGAGCACCATTGGCAAGACTCTGGCCCCTTTCTCTTGACCCCCAACCCGTCAGATATTGATCAGCATTGAGATCCCCTCTCAGTCTTCTCTTGTCCAAGCTAAACAGGCCGAGGTGTCTGAGCCTTTCCTTATAGGAGAGCTGCTCCAATCTATACGGTAAAAAACCCAATGCCATCCTTACAAACAGAAACAAGACAATGAAGCTCCTTCTAGTAAACCAGGAAAAACATGAACGCTACATTAACCTTAGAACACCTTCACATACCAGCTTAACTACTCCTCAGGACCGAGCTTTCCCATTCCTCCCATTCCTCTTAGCTATGGAAGCATGAGACACACTCACAATATTATTTCTTCCCCCTAGAAGTGCTGGCAAGGGGACTTGGAACTCACAGCCCTCCCTCAGAGAACTTTCCAGGGTGGCTGCAGCAGCTCTCGACCCCCGGGCACATCCCGAAGTCACACGTACACATCCCCTCACGATCACCAAAAAGAGGCACAGCAGCCTCAGTACCTTTAAATTTCAAGGTATTCGGTTAAATACTCACCTTTCACCCACATTTGATATTCAACCTGATATTTCTGGGGCACACTCCTCAGAGCCCAGCGCCCGTGCCAGGCTCCCCGCTTGCAGGCACGCTCCGTCTCCCTGGCAAACTCAAGAACTCACAACATCCCTTCAGTGACTCTGAAAAAGGGGAACAAGCTGCATCTGTCCCAGCCCACACACAGACTCAGTTACGGTTCCCATCCTGCCCATAACAAAAGAATTGCACTTTTGTTCCCCTGAACACAGCCCGTGCCACAGAAAAGGACATTTCTGAACTCCAGTGCAGCAGCACTGCTTGCACCTGACTTCCTCAGCTAGTTAGGGCTGGCCCTGGATTTTCTCACACCCCTTTTGCTTTTTGCATTTAAATGTC